GACACCCAGATGCTAAGCGATTTACTTGTACCAGGAAGACCCTACAGGGAAGGGTAGCCCTCTCAAGGATTGACTTCTTCCTAGTCTCGGACTCATTAGCAGGCGTGGTACTAGGGTCAACTATATTTAGATATCCCTACTACGGGGGTTTTGACCATAAACAGATAGGTTTACTATTGAACTTCGGCCTAGATAACGAGCCTGGGAGAGGCTTCTACAAGGTTAATAACTCCCTATTAAGACTGGAAGGGTTCAAAAACGCTGTCAGGCAAACTTGGGAGAGACACACACCCAAGATGCAGGGTGAAAGAATTCTCTCACACTTTGGAAGAGCCTTAYGGGAGGTAAGCAAGGAGCTAAGCAGGGAATCAAGGACCGAGGYGAAAAGAAGAAGGGAAAGACAAGAATTGYTGGAATCCATAGTTGAGACGGCAGAGTACAACTTAACACTCAACCCTGGCGCCCCAATGTACGAATCCCTACTCTCGTCAGCAAGGGAAGAGCTGGCAAACTGGGCTGAATGGAAAAGAAGAGGTCTGAGCATCAGAGCAAGAATGAAAGATTGGGAGAGCAACGAGACCATGACCAAACATTTCTTCCAAAAAATCAAAGCAAACAGCAGAACAGCGGAATAACGGAGCTGAAAGACGAGAGGGGAGTAGTCAAAAGCCAACAAGAAGACCTGCTACAAATAGCTACCAATTTCTACAAAAAGTTGTACACATCACAGTCGGATAACGAAGATGGCGGGGCTATAAGGAGAGCAAGAGAGAAWTTTTTGAAGCACCTGGAYACTAGCGTACAACCARAAGCATCAGCCTATSTGGACAAGGACCTCACTCTACCAGAAATACGTAAAGCACTAGACTCTATGCAACCAAACAAAGTCCCGGGCATAGATGGTTTGACAAAGGAATTCTGGCAAGAGTATTGGCCAGTTCTAGGGGGGGGACCTCTTGTGCTTCTTCCAAGAGGCATATCGAAAGGGAGGCCTAGGGGAAGAGATCAGTACGGGGGTAATAACGCTACTCTACAAAAAAGGGGAAAGAGAAGACATAAGAAACTATAGACCAATATCCCTACTACCAGTAGCATATAAGATCTTGGCTAAAGTACTTGCTAATAGAATAAGAAGCATAACAGACAAATGTTTTCACGTGGACCAGACGGGCTTCATACCAGGAAGATTCATCCTAGACAACGTAATYTGTTTAAAGRAAGCAACCAAAATAATACARGATAAGAAGCTACAARCAACCATCCTTTTTTTCGACTTCGAGAAGGCCTACGRCCAGGTCAAYTGGGACTTTCTAYAARAGTGCATGGAAAGAATGGGGGTGGGCCCAACCTTCCGAAGGTGGGTGAGAGTCCTATACGCGGATGCAAGGGGAAGAGTCCAAATAAATGGGCACTTATCAGAGACATATAGAATGACAAGGTCGGTCAGACAAGGAGATCCATTAGCCGCCCCAATATTCCTCTTCGTCATGGAGGCAATCGCAGCCTTCATGAGAAAAGATCCCTCAATAGAAAGGATACAAGCCCTGGACGATGGAAGAAAAAGCCAAATTCAACTCCCTACAGTGATGCTGTTTGCAGATGACCTGACAGTCCTAATAAGGGCTACGGACACATCTTTCCAAGCACTTACAAGAGCCATGCAAGCCTTCCAGCTGGCCTCAGAAATGAGGATAAACTGGAAGAAAACGATCGGGTGGTGGTACGCTGACACCCCCTCCCCACCGCCGACCGAATCCACACAAGGCTTGCAATGGTTGGATCACCAAGTTCCCTTCAAATTTCTGGGCATATCCATAACCATGACAGGAGCCAGTAACTCGATGGCACCGAACCTTTTGGCAGCGGCCATGAATAAATACGTAGGATGGCAGAACACATACACCTCTCTAATGGGGAGGGCCCTAATCATTAATTCCTCGATCTTCTCCATGATCTGGTACACAGCTTCAATCTGGGACCCGCCACCAGCCTTCACCAAGAATTTGAGGAGAAAAGCAGCAGCGTACTTATGGACAGGTGACGCTTCAAGAAACCAATTCATAACAAAAGTTGCCTGGAAATACGTCACCAATCCTGTAAGCGAAGGCGGCCTCAGCCTCATAGATTCGGCGACTGAGCACAAAGCTCTCCAGACTAAGTGGATCCTAAGGTTACTTCTGAAATTGGAACTTCCCTGGCAAGAAATGGCTCTCTACCAAATAAGAAACTTAGTGCCATTCAAAGTCCACAGCAACGTAGAGGGGCATACATGGCTCATGAACAGACATTGGACACCCAAAAGAGAAGGGAACAGACCCAGACGGAGGAACGACCAACCAATCGCTGACCCCCCAAGCGGACACTGGTCCAAACTAATTACCACTTGGAGAGAGGCTTTCCCACAAAGAAGAAGGGGACCAAGGACAAAAGAAGAAATTCTGCGTCAACCTCTCTTTGGAAATGATTTGCTGAAAGACCAAGAAGGGAAGGCATGGTCCCTCAATGGAAGAGGAAAGAAATGGAGAATCTGGATGGAAAAAGGAATATGGAAAATTGAACACTTATGGGAGGATCAAAAGGGCCAATGGAAGTCAGAAGGGGACCTCAGGYGCATCCTAAAAGGTCACCACAACCTACAGAMAAACCTGRAGGAGCTAATAGACAGCATCCCAATGGCCTGGAGAGCAACACTAAAAAAGAGGAGAACATGGAAGAAGGGCGATTGGGCAACTCTGTTGACTCAGAGCACTCCGTCGGTGGCTCTCCGCTTCATAAGGTACTCAACACCAGATAGAAACACAGCTTTATTKGAGATACACGAATTAGAAGACAAAAACAAATCAATAGTCGCAGCCAGGAAAGAAGCATTAATGACACTGGACTTCAGCATCAGCAAATTGCGTAAAGTCAGAAAGCTGGAAAGCAAGCAAAGAAGCCCAAGGAAGGGAAAGGAAGAGAGGGACGCCCCCATCTGGCTGTTCAGACCTAACAAAGACATATCGGAATTAGAAGTGGACCCCAACGAATGGGGATGGTATGAGAAGAGAGGGCGTGGCAGGGCCAAAAAATGGATTCCCTTGCACGAATATACACCCAAAAAGGGTTACAATATTAGACGCAAGGCAGAAAACCCTCAGCCCAGCATAGCAGCTAGATGGGAAAAGAACCTACAAATCGACCCCGCTGCCCTCCAGACAATACCATGGTCTTTTTATGCCTCCATTAAACCTCAGCGAGTAAGGAGCCTCCAATGGTTGATCCTCTACCTAGCAGTCCCTGTTAATGCGTGGCTAGATTCAAGAAGAAAAGGGGAGGACAGGGCTGAAACGTCAGCTCACTGCCAGATGTGCAAAGAACAGCAAAGGGAGACCTTAACGCACTGCTTCCTGCACTGTCAGCATGCCAAATCCCTCTGGGACAAGTGCAAAAGAGCATGGGCCAAACTATCCCCCAAAGAATTCCCCACAGATCAGCTCTTCCTCTTGACAGCAATAGACCGCGAAGGCATAATCCCCGAAGAAGACAGTGGAATCATAGAACTGCTGAGAAGGACGGTCCTATGGGTAATCTGGAGAGCTAGATGCGCAGGCACAATTAGCGAAAAGAAAATATCAACAAATGAATCGTGGGAGGAAGCAAGAGAAATGGTGGAAACAGGAATCCGAGTGGAATGGAAGCAAACCCTGTGCAAGATGGAAAAGGAAGTGGAAGCACAGAAAAAGAACAAATTACAGAAGGAATTTGAGGGGTATTGGCTAAAAGAAGGACTATTAGCGCGAGTATCAGGCAGAACACTACTTTTCTCAGATTGGTGGGGTCCAACTACACCAAGGGAAGAACCAGACGGAAGTACACCAATGGACCTGGAGTGAACGGATAATGCGTACCTCCCCACTCAGTCCCCTAAGGGAAACACGTTACGCGAAGGGTTTAGGACTGAGGAACTCGAGGAGAATAACCAATCTACACCTAGAACGTACCCGGGAAGATCCAATGGAAGACAAGACAGGAAGTGACAGAGAAACCGAAAGAGAATCACAAACAGAAAACAGAGACATGAACCTAAAATTGGATAGGGGGCGACTTGTCACCACCCAAAAAAGAAAGCAGTAATAGCCAATAATAGCAAGCCTACCTGTGGAAAGCGGGGAGGAACTGGGTACGTCAGCAGCCGGAACAAGAGGAAGAAATATTGAAGCGTTTTAAGCAAAAGGTACTCACCGATGGAGCGGTAGCATCAATCCAAGGAGCACATTTAATCTTCAGATGCAGAGGGGGAGGGCGCTGATCATAGAATTACAGGGAAGAGTGAAAGGGGGAACGGAACTCAAGCAGTGGAAGGAAGGGTTTAGGGTTTAAGAAAAAAGGGAAAAAGGAGGACGGGATTCAGGGTTAAGAGCCGAAGGAAGGGTATAGGGGGTAAGAGTCATAGCAGGATGAAAACAGGGAGAGTTTTAGGGTATAGGAGAGATAATTTCAACCTGGACGTCTTAGAACAGATAAATTAGGACAGCATTAAGACCGAGGGATTAGGCCTTATGGCTTAGACAGAAACAATGCAAAAGCTGCTTTAGAATCTTAGAGGCTTCAAAGGCGTATAAGTGTTCCAGAATGCTCTTGTATAAACATAGATAACCGACAGCTTCATAGCTGAGAGGAGCTGATCTGGGATCAGACAGATTGGTAGGCAGAGCTAGTGCAGGCTAGATTAGGCAGGGGTGAGAGGTGGTACATCCTTCCTTAGGGAAGTAATCAATGCTGCCTACTCGGGCCTCTCAGCCATAATGGGGAGGAGCGTGTGTGAGTCCTTTATGTATTCCAAATTGACTTGCCGGGGGAATAGGAACCGGACTGTCACTCCCCAGAATGGTAGGAGCCAGAACCGTGAGGTTCTGTATCTTGTTTAAAATTAAAAAAAAAAAAAAAAAAAAAAAAAAAAARAAAACGCTGGCTGTTGCAATTTGTCTGACGGACCCATGTGTCGTGTCGTTCCTCAACAGGAGGAGCTAGGCGAGGTTCATGCTAAACGTGCGGCGCATTTTTTTGGCGAGGTCCGACGAGTATACAGAGGTGAGTTGCAGTAAACGTAATGTGGATGACCCCAAGACCCATCACTGTTCTCAGTGGTGTGCGAACACACGCTGCCAAACTTGAGAAACTTTCGGGATCTAAAACCCCAAGTCAGAAATGCTTCCACCGTCTCCCCCCCCCCCTCTCCCCGAAAAAGAAAGCCAGCAAAAGATTTGAAAAAAAGTTAAAAGAACAAAAGAGAACACAGAAATATTTTCCAGTTGTCCATCGGGACGTCTTTTAAACCTCAAAAAGTTTGATCTGGATTATTCGAACGGTACAGAGGAGAGCTTAACATCGCACCTGCACAAGGATGACATGCACGAATTTGGAAATGTTCTGAAATGGGAGAATTCCACACACACACACACACACACACACAAAAAAAAAAAAAAAAAAAAAAAAAAACGCTTTTTAACTTTTGAGTCTTGACTCTTTGGTTCCACAACACAACTGGAGATTCTTTTTGGAGAAAACCTCCCGCTGGGGCCTGCCAGAGGGGGTGATATGAGCACATCCTCCCTTATCAGCCCCCCCATGCCCCCCTCCCCCCTCTCCCTGGGTGCTCCGATCTATTGGTGGGGAGCTCAGCTCAATTGAGTCTGCCGCAAAGGCATCAAGCAGGAAATGTTGTGTGTGTGGTCTCCCAGGGCCCACTGGTTGATGCTCTGCTTGCCTCACAGCGGCAAATGTGTGTCCGATTCTTTCTTGACCCTAAGAGTCTAAAAGCCCGAATTAACCTTGACTGGACATCTTAAGGCCCGGATTAACCTTGACGTCCACTAAAATTGGAACGGTACAGAGGATATTAGCATGGCCCCTGCATGAGGATGACACAAATAAATAATCCAGAAATGGTCCAAGTTGTTACAGAAAGCCAACCACAGCCGCATCAAATTCGAGTTTCGATACCTTTCTGAGGCTTTCTCGGCCTTTTGGCTAAAAATAGATCAAGCGCAGTGTATCTGTTCTGATCAGTTTAATATCTGATCCGCGGTCCGTCGGTATTAAAAAAAAATAAAAAATTAGTCGGTGTGTCTGATTCTTTTTTGACCCTAAAAGGGGGTAAATTGGTAAAAGTATAAAAGCCCATTTTTTTTTTTTTACTTTGAGAATCCAGCTCAGTTTGCACAAACGTGAAGTGCTGAAATACAGACCCAAGATCGAATCCAGATGCAATCAGATGATGGAAAGCCCTGAGAATCTGAGAGCAGAAAGCCTGCCTGGTTTTTGTGCTCAGCCTTAGGGTTAGCGATGGGGCCTTCCATGCACGACTTTTGATTGGTCAAGCCTAATACTCTCCCCCCCCCGACACACACAACCCCACTACATGCAGCCCGTCCTGTTTCCCAAGTTACAGCTGACCTGAAAACCTGTGTTTGTTTGAAGAGGGGAGGTTAGTGACCGTTTCTCCAGTTCAGCTTGGTCCAGACTGAGTAAGGAGTTGCCAGTGAGTTGATGCTCTTCACAAGTCAGAGATGTGACTTTCATCTGTGTGTGACTTGATTCAGTGTGGCCGTACTGTGTGACTTCAGTCTCTGTGCCTGAGTCCTGTGTGTGTGACTTCATCCTCTTCAGTCTGTGCGACTTCGACCTGTGTTTGACTTCATCGTGCGTGCGTGTGTGAGTGACTTGATCCTGTGCAGCAGCTTGATACTGTGCGACTTCAGTCTGTGTGACTTCGTCCTGTGTTTGACTTCATCCACTTCAGTCTGTGCAACTTCAGGCTGTGTTTGACTTCATCGTGCATGTGTGTGCGTGACTTGATCCTGTGCAGCAGCTTGATAC